CACACAGTATCATACTTTTAAGCCAAATGTGTGAAATGTGTGTTTTTTCTTCTTCTTTTATTTGATAACTTCCGCTGAACAATTTTTCTCGTGAATAAAGCGTAGTCTTGTGCGACTTACTGGCCAAAGTTATTTCCCGACTACTCTAGGCTACCGATCGGGACACAGCGCTGTCCTGTTGCGCCTGCAGCAGCATGGCCTGCTGCTGCTGAGCCATCTGTTCGTGCTGTTGCTGCCGCTGCTTGGCGAGCTCGGCGTCGTCGGCGTGCAGCAGGCGGTACGAGGCGGGCAGCTCGCCCTCCGAGAACAAGTGGTCTGAGAAGTAGATGCGGCGGATGCGGCAGTTGGCGTGCACCTGCACGCGCACGCACTCGACGTACGTGGTGCCGTACGCACGACGGGCGAAGTCGGCTAGGTTGAACTGGATCTGCCCATATCCAACAATAAAATTGGAAGAACAAACACGATGGTGAACGAACTCATGTACGGATCTTTCGAACGTGTAATACTTGAACGTTCCAGTCTTCTGCTTCAAACCGAAACTTCACCTGATTCCAGCCGTTGCTCAGTGCCAAGGGCGTGTTGCAGCAGAAGGGTCGAACCCTGGTCGCAGATTGGTAGTTACTTGCGCGAAGTCTCCGTCGCATATTCTTATCGTCGAGGAACTAGAAATAGAGCATAGTCCAGGCTGTGTTGAGGGCCCAAAGTCCCGTTGGTCCTGACTGGACCCCGGAAAATTTTGTAGTCAGACTGTACCGTATGTAGGCGTGTAGACGCTTTGCATACTCGCACGGAGCTATAAGTCCAGTGGTGAGAGACGACAGGGAAGCCCACCACGGCTGCATGCGGTTCAGTGCAGGGTAGTCCGCAGACCCCTTCCGTAATTTTGCTTATACTGCGCCGCATGTAGGCAAGCCCTATCGTCGCTCACCGCGGCGCCTCATGGCCTCGTCCCAGTATGCAACCCGCCCGCACGCCTGCATCCAGTACAGTATAAGCAAAATGAAGGAAGGGGTCTGTGGACCACCCTGTGTAACTACGAAACTTTAAAGGTCAACATAACGCCTCTTTGAAACGTTCTCCTTGGGATCGTCCAATGAAACATGTGGAGTATAGTTGCTCAAAGCCTCGCATTTTACATTTTTGTAGTGACGCGTGGCCGATGGACTGTCCGCAATTTTAAGTAAGATTTTTAATAAGCAAGTCAACTACTACCATTGCCAAGCTCTTAGAATTGGCGTGAATGGAGTTGGACTTGGTGGAGAGTTAGTTCTGTCCAGAAGCAATATACTGACTGTGGATGTGTGTACCGTTATCTCAAAGCTGAAGTACTTCTTCAGGTTCTTGATGAGCATGCACAAGAAGGGCAGTTTGACACCAAGCGAGGCGTGAGGATCGGCGGGTGCCGTGATGTAGGTGGTTGCGACGTTCGTGCCCGTCAGCTCCAGCACCAAGGAGTTGCCGATATCACCATCCGTCAAACGTTTTATGTGCCCGTTCTTTGCCTGCCATGCAACAATGTGTTTCGCGTCGGGCTGGAGTCAAAATGTGTTTTCACATAAGGATTGTGGCGCACCTTGCAGTCCCATATAGCCAGGGGCTTGCTTCCACAACTGTAGAAAATTGAAAGCAGTTCACTCTGCAGCACACCACTGAACATGGTTGTATGAAACTAACAAACTTTGTAAAAGCTGTGAAACTTGAAATTATATCTTAATTTATGATTGGCTGGCGTTTGTTATCTAGTCCTTCATTGTCAAGCTGGCAACAATAACTACCTGCATGGGTAGAGGACAAACAATTTCACGAGTTCCATCCCAGCTAGAGCTAGGTATGTGACTTAATCAAAAAATTAGTTGGACAATTACGTTTGTGTGTAGATAAGGGGAAAAACAAACAAACTAAAAAACATGTAATGAGACGGCTCATTTAATAAACTTATGACAAAAACATTACTTCTTGGCAGCAACAGCCTCATCTTGGTATGACTGCAAAAGCTCCTGCTTCTTCTGGTTGATTCTCTCCTCCCTTCGTTTGCGCGCCTCCTTGACTTTCATACGGCGGGCCTCTGCTTGGTCACTGTTACAAAATAAAATCAAAATCATGAGTTAAGACCAAATAAAACAAGTACTGAACATGGAATGAGGAAATAGCATGACCAAGTTATGTTAGAAAATTACAATAGATTTTAAAAATTTATCTAGCCAAGGCATTGAGTGATTTAAAACAGCACCTGCTAGGCAATTGACATATTAGAGGCCAACATCTTGGGGATCAGAGTTGTACTTACAAAGAATCACAAACAATCAATATCACGTTTGTCCTCATTTCCCCACATTAAATTTAAGTATGGCACAGATGAGCAGTGGCACTTCAATGCACAAGTAAAAGTGGGATCAGAGTTGTACTTACAAAAAAATCACAGAAAATCAATTGAAAATTTTCCTCATTTCCCAAATAAATGCAAAAATGACATGTAGGATCAGAGTTGTACTTAAAAGTATCACAGAAAATCATGATCAATTTTCCTCATTTCCTTCAATACAGTAAAATTTAAAGGCATCGCAAAACTGTCAGTCTGCAGCAGCCAATACTTACTTCAACATCTTGGTCCTAGCCTTCTCAGCCTTCTTCTTGTGGATGAACTCCATCAGTACACGCTTATTCTTAAAGACATTACCTAGAGGAAATGAATTTGTGAGTAATGAGCCAACAACAACATGACAGAGACAGTATAAGCATTTACTAACCCTTCGCCTTCATGTACAGCTGGTGGTACAGATGTCTATCAATTTTCTTGGCTTCCCTATACTTTTTCAGAAGTCGTCTGAGCACACGCATACGGTTAACCCACAGTTCCTGCAACAAAACCAAGTTATGAAGAACATGGAGAGGACATGCAAGAATGAAAACAATCAACTATGATACACACCTTCTGCGGCGTACGGGCATTGGCAGTACCTTTCCTCTTTCCAAAGCCACAGTGCCTCCCCTTGCGCCTGGCAATAGTATTTTTGCGGACGCGAGCACGTGAGTGCACAGCCACAGGCTTTTTGATGATTAGACCATCCTTGATGAGTTTACGGATGTTTTGTCCTTAGCGTCACAAATAATTAATTGAATGGACCAACATAGTAGGAATATCAATGTGGGAGAGGATTGAACACTTACTTGAGTTAGTATTGGCGATCTCATTAATTTCGTTAGGATCCAACCACACCTTCTTACGGCCGCATTGCATAACCGAAGCGGCAAGCCGCTTCTGAAGCTTGAGGGAACTGAAACAAAATGACACAAGTGAGCCGACTGGGAGGGAAAGTGAGGTTAAAGCGAAACCGTAAACAATGCTTTAAGCATGAAAATACAACAAATGATTGAGCAAAAACTAAGAGTAGCGAGGGAAAGCAATATACTCAGTACAGAACTTCAGAGACCGACATAAATGAATCTTAGGTACAAGAGTATGTAGCAATCAGGCAAAACACGCACAAGCAAGACCAGGCGCCCGACCCAACATTGATCTTAAAAACTTCCTAGATCAGAATGAACGGAAATAAATTTTGAAATGCACAATTCGTTACAGTAAAATAGTAAAGAAATTTTAAACAATATACCCACTCATTGTTTGAACTCAAGACATGACTTATACTACATGTGGTTAGGGTAAGATAGATTGACGAAATGCATCTCAAGTATGATAGAAAATTCCACACTTCATATGTCAAAAGATAAAACTTCTCTATTAGCAAGAGATGTTGTACCAATTTTGCAATAGAATGGTAATTTTAGGTGCATAGTTTCCTAAAACTCAGAACAAACACGGTACCTCATGGTGCCTCAGGTAAACCCGACGTGGTAGAGATCACAAACGCACAAAATGGAGGAATAGTGGCCCGACCGGAAGAGGATATGAAGAGCCAAGATGTCAACGCAACGAGTTATATGTGATTTTGAAATAAAAATAATGAAAACCAAAACTATGCAGAACCGTTTAGGAAATTAAATTAAACGAATTAAAATTGAGAACACATTTTTATCATAACAAATTTTAAAATATTACAGTTAAGTTTTGATTTTGACCAATAAATTCTTCTTTTTTGCGTAGCAAAATTTTGTCGTATTTGGCCTTTGAATAGCTTCTGTTGCAGCCAGAGTATCACGATGAGACGATGAAGGAAAGGGGGGAAAGGGGAAGGGGGACGGAAGAATTTAGGACCGTGTTTTTTTATAAAGATTGTTGAAGTATTGGTAAAACTTTGGATTTAAACGGAAGGAACATTCTGCAGTCAGTTGATCACTTTTTATTGAGTTCGTAATAGATAAATTAATCAGGGTAATTTAATTTATTCGAGTTCTTTTCGTTGATTTGCCTACGAAATATATAAAATTACTCGCTGGTCTAACCTATCGTAACCGGTGGCATGTCATTCTAATTTCTGTTTTGTTGCTATGTTTGTGGTAGAAACATGTCTGGCGACGGGGAAAATGTTGAAAATGATCCGAAGAAGTCGTACGCGGGCATTCCAGAGGCTGTGTTTGTGGTAAATATACATTTGTTTTGAGAGATGGTATTCATCTCTTTTTTTTTTTGTCGAAGTGTATCATTTTTGAACTATCTCCTGTTCAGTGAACCAACCTACCTAATTTTGTCCATTTTTGGACATGCCCACTATTGTTTTTAGGACAACATTGATGAATTCATGGCTCAGTCAGAAAATGACAATGCTGACAAAGTTCTGAAACGGTTGGACGAGCAGCACCAAAAATACAAATTCATGGAGTTCAATTTGGAATCAAAGAAGAGGCGGTGAGTAGAATTGTCTCTTACATACACAGGGCTCATACCATTCAAAGAAGTCACTCAAAATGAAAGTGGGGATCTGGTATGATATCTGATATGTTGTCTGAGATTGTTTCCACTAACATGTCAAATTATATTTTTGCAGCCTAAAAAATCAAATACCCGATCTTGAAAAGTCTTTGAAAATGATTGTCATGCTTCAGAAGAAGCAGGATGCAACAGAGGACATGGAAACTCAGTTCCTACTCTCAGATCAGGTGTACATGAAAGCTGAGATTGCACCCACTAATAAAGTCTGTTTATGGCTCGGAGTAAGTAAATTTGCTAAGGCAAAGTAAATTCTAATGAATATAGTCACTCTGAATTGGTTTTACCACATCTCAATTTTTAGGCCAATGTAATGCTGGAATATACTCTGGAAGATGCTAAAAACTTGTTGTCTAAGAACATTGAACAGGCCAAGAAAAACTTGGGTTATGTAGAGCATGATTTATACTTCCTCAGGTCTGTTTATTGTATCAATTTTTTCTTCTGGTTTCATGTATAGTGGTTATAAAATTTGTTGAGCAGCCCATCTTTGTTTATATCTTGCAGGGATCAGTTTACAACTACTGAGGTCAACATGGCAAGAGTTTATAATTGGGACGTGAAGCGGAGACAAGCAGCCAAGGCGGCTTCATGATTGAACAATATGTGCTACGTCACTCATTGCTTTATTTATGAGTTTAAAGTAACATATTAATCTTAGGTCCTACTTTCATCAAGTTGTCACTAATTTTAATAGATGCTGTCATTATTTTTTCAATTTCACTACAATTTTATGAAAGCTGCTTTTTGTCAAATTCCCATTAATATCTTAGAAAAGTATCTGTCACCTGTTGTGTGGGTCAGGTTAATAAGACTCATAATTTCCTAACCATCTGTTGTGAAGCGGCATTGCACACATTTGTTTAATTTGATAAATTAAATAAAATATTGGTGCAAAATTTTACGTATTTTAAGTTACTGCTTCCAGGTTGACAACAATGAAGCAGGTAGTGTAATGCAAAGTTCACATTCAAACACAACACAGTTTGCTTTGCAACAAATTTATTCTGACTATGAACTTTGGTTGAATCACAATTCAAGAGGGGGCAGTTCCAAACAGTACCGAATTTCTTTAAAGGACTGTCGCCCACTGCATTTCTGAATTAATTTTTTTCTCAAAAGGAATTATTAGACTGCCATGACAACAAAAATCGCTGTCACATAAGTACTATGAAAAAGGGAAACAAAAATATTTGAGACTGAGAGAAACATTAAATTATAGGTACTTGTAAACTTTAAAAAAAAGTATCAAAAATATTTCTAGCCTCAAGGAGATGTAAAATAAATTAAAGATATACTGAGACAAACTACATAAGTAGAATTAAGAATATCACAGGGGCGCTGGAAAAAATTGTGAGAGAAATTAATCCTTATGAATGGAATTTGCAGAGCCTTGATGTTCCAATGATTTCTCAGAGGGAGGATTGCCTCGAGAAGAACCTGACACCTTTGACATTTTCGATTGTCCTGAGTGTATGGAACCACCAACATCGCTTCGTTGTAAGGTCTGTGACTTTGAAGGGGAGGATACTGCCATCGGCGGTGGAACTTCTTCATACTGGCTAAGACGCTTGCGTAGCATGTTATTCTCAGTGACAAGTCGAGCAACTTGAGCTCTTAGTTCTTCTTCTGTTGAATTTTGACTAGGGTGATTCTCCAGTAGATGATTTCGGACATACCTTCAAGACAGTTAAGGTCTGCAGGAGAGTGCTGACAGTAGAAGACATAAATAGATTTACATAAATCAAAATCATTAAAAGTTAAGAAAAAAAGGTGAATAGTAATGAATTTTTAGGCAATACAAAGGATACTCTAACGCATCAATTCCTTTATCTTGTTCTTCATACAGAGAGACTAATACTCTTGTTAATGATTCCATTACCCCCGCTCTTTCTAGGTACTTGCGATATTCTTCTCTCTTTGAATCTACAGGCTGTGAAGAGGAACAACATAGTTAACACCAAGTTCTACCCACCTGGATCAATTTACGATTCAGAAGAGGTTAGAAGCAATGTTAATGAGAAAAACCACACTATAAGCGAGGTGAGGATGAGCTTGTAAATTAAGACTTGAAAGACCTCCAGAGAGGACATAATTCTATACACATTCGAAAATTTGAGAGTACTAAACCACGCTGCCTGCGTCTGTCATTTGACTGTTCCATGAAGATGGAGATAATATTATTATTATATTAACTTACCCGAAATGTTGTCATGGTTGAACCTTCGATTGACGATTAAAAACGGGATTGATTTGATGAGTGAAAGAGCCAAATGAAAATCAAAAGCACGGAAGTAATTTTTTTTTCAAAAAGAGAGGTCTCACAGCTCTGGACAAGTTTGATTTTCTCTGTACACCAATGAGCGGAAATCGGCTCAAACTCGGCGTACAGTTCCACCAACTATCTAATCGCATCCACCTTTGGCATCGGTTCAACAATGAAACTGAATTAGTTCGATTCGAATCGATAATTTCGTGCATTTGATACCTTTACTTGCTCCATTCTTAATTCTTATTCATTGTTTTCGATGTCCCATTCGTGGCTAAAAAGACTACCGTGGTCGTCATTGTCGTTGGGGGCGGAAAGGGCGGAAGCACTAGCAACTGCAAATTAACAGAACAGCAGAAAGTAAACTCAATATGTGCAAATAATTTATTTATTCAAAAAACAATCGAATTCTTTTATGTTGACAATGAAGGGGTGAAGATGAATGCTGAGATATAAATGTCATAAGTAAAAAAAAACTGAACTGATGTTTTTATTTCCACAAATCCCATCACTTTCATACAATAATGTTATAGATAACTAAAATTAAAAATAAAATAAATCACTATCAGATAAAATTATATAAATATCTCAAAACAGGACATTGGAAATGCTCATCTTCAAAACCCAATTTGTAAACAGATAAAGAAGATTTCACTGTTCAGTGCCAAAATGTGACATTTTGGTAAAATTTAACAAAGCCAAAGAATATTTGGCAGAGGACACAATGCCAATAAATTAATACTGCTTCATCTAAGACTCACAGCTGAAACAATACTTTAAACTACTTTAAAGCTTATTAGATAATTAAATAATAATTACATATCTGATACAAAGCAGTTTGCATATATATACAATGCTGGCAGTCTGCCCCATACATGATTGCTTTCGAAGTATAGTTTGTCATAAAAATCACAATAAATCTGGCATAACCATGCCAATGCCAATAAACAAATAAAATCACATCCTTCATTTTAATCTCAAATAAGAAAAATATATTGGCGCTTACAGTCGACATTGACATTTGACTGAAGGATACAAACAGCTACCTATCCACGACACAAATTATAAATGGCTAGACAGTTATTAGCCAAACTTACTGAAGTCATTGAGAATAGAAACATACTATTAATTTGTACAAAGATTAAGTTCATTTGCAATTGACATACAATTTTTACAGGACTATAAGATAAGTGACATAAAATAAACACTGCTTGACCAAAATTTCAATGCGCCTGATACACAATGTCTGTTGTAACAGATCTCAGGAGGAATGAACACAGATAGCTTTCAATTCATCATAAATCAGTTGATACAATTTACAGTCAGATAACAATGAAAACAACTCCTTATTGAATACTATGATAATAATTCCTGAGTGCTTTGAGTTGTTCCCACACACTGAATATAGATTTGGCCACTAAATGAGGGCCAACATTTGGCCATGGATGATAATTGATTTATTCTTCAGTCTCCTTGCTTCTTTGCACTGAAATATCACAAGCATAGTCAGAGAAAAACTAAAAGTGGAGAAAAAGAAGGTAGTAATTTCATGGTTGATTAACAAGAACTTACGATTTAGGTTTCAACTGCCCAGATGCAATAGCAGCTTTCTTTTTCAGGTACCGTATCTTCTTCACATATGCTTCCACCAATGTTTGAATCTTCATAGGATTGATTTCCCCTGACTTATTGTGACAAATCTATGTACAATAGAGAAAAGTTAACAATGTCAATATTTAAGAAAAATAATGATACATAGATAAATAATTAAGAAATGCAAATTTACGAATGGTCAATGAAAACAAAACTATAGAGGTACGCAGGCTGAAGATAATTTCTTACCTTTGGCACAGAACGTCTAAGAATCTCCTTGTAATCCTCCTTGTTGATGTGTTTCTTATAGTAATGAGGTTTTAAAGCGAGCTTAACTTCCTCAACCACTCTTTCTTGTCGATTTAACTTCTTCAGAAACTGAAAAAGAAGAAAACAGATGCGTTAGATTCTCTGTAAAGCGATGAATAGATATAAAATTCATAAATTTGTGTTTTGAATTAAATAATCTTTGAAGTCCCTCTCACAAGACATGATGTAAATTCAAACACTTCTACAAGGCATTCAGCTCAACTACTCTTAGTGCAAGCCAACAAAAATAATAGTAACATCAAATTAGAAGGGATTCTCAGCAACCCAAACAAAATAAAAGCAAGCTGAATTATAGCCTCTGGCCATCTTAACTGATAGGCATGAAAGCACTATGAGGCAGGGATTAAAACAATGTACTAGTATTGTGTATGATCATTTAAAAAAAAAGTAGCTTGAGATAAAATAAAATAAAGCAGCAGGCAAATAATTTGCAAGTTATTACTATTTTTCAAATGAAGTCTGACTGTCAAGATCATTAGAAGTAAAAAAACTGATTTTAAGAGACAGTAGCTGATAGCAGTGCAAAAGGCATACATAATAAACAAAACAGGGTTGCCGAAGTCTACCTTGTCCTTCACCTGCAGCTCAACAGCTGAGCTTGGTACTTCATCCAAGATTTTTAGCTGGTCTTCATCTGTTGTTCTCATAGAACCATCTTTTCCTGTAAAGTAATAAAGAAGTTCAAAGTTTGTAAACAATACTATCAAGATGGAAGAGTTATGTTGTCAATAAGGACTTACGGATTTTTGCCATCTGCTTCACAATTTTGTTGAGCTTGGCCTGATTGCGGCCAGCATTCTTCCCGCTAGTCTTTGATCGTGAATTACTGCCATATTTCACCCTCTGTTTGGGAGAACTGCCAAACAGTGTGTCAAACTTGTCAGATTTAGATGCACCTCCACTAGCTGGTTTGGAGCGGGTAGTGGATTTTGTTGGGGTTCCCTTTGAGTTATAAACAGGTGGTGGTTCGAACAAGTCATCACCTTCACTTGATCCTGGTGAATAAGGTGAGTCCAAATCCATATCAATGACTTCAGTTTGTGCACTGGGCTCCCCATTCTGTCGAGAAATAGTTTTTACAGGTGTGCTTGGTTTAGATGCTGGTCGCACTGATAATGCACCTTTGATCACAGATGCTAAAAGTCTATCAGACTGTGAAACAGCACGTTGAGGAATAGAACGACTGGTCGAAGATGATGTTGAAGATGTGACTTCAGTTGAGCCCCCTGCAGCTGCCATTGTTTTTAAAGGTGTCTTCACAGCAGCTGCCTCAGCTGAAGAAGTGGGGCTCATTGGCTTTGATTTATCAACTTCATCTACTTCAGGGGCCGTAGTACCAGGAGAAGCACCTACACCATCTAACTTTGGTGAGGAACTACGAGCATCATCTATAATGTCAGTCTTTGGTCTAGTATCATCATCAATTTGAGCACCCATTGATCCATTTTCAAGTGATTCGCTTGCCTTCTCTGTTCCATTTGTTCTGTCTCCAGCTCCAGCACCTTCATCTGGGGATTCAGAACGTGGAGAAGCTGTTGGTTCAAATGGATCATAAGCATCTGGTGAAGTTGGAGATGAACCAGGAGTTGCAGGACCCATAGGAGATTCGGGAGGAGTATTGGGTCCTTTGTGTAAGCTCTCCATATCTGCATCAGTTCGAGTATTTCCTGTTTCATTCCCTTCAACTTGCTCCTCACCGCCCTCCTCCTCTTCCTCTTCTTCTTCCATAAGTGGGTTGTTGATTGTTCGAATACTGTTTTTAGTATTGATAGAAAATTTAATCTGTGGTTCAGGTGGTGTTTTGGGACCCATTGGCTCATCAGGTACAGCATTTATTTCTTCATGCAATTTCTGCTTCATTTGCTGAAGTTCCTGTTCAGTTTGTTGCATGTTTTCATCCTCACTGTCACTCAAAATGATCAAATCTTTTGGAGAAGGCGTGAACTCCTTGTAGGGAGACTGTTCAAGGTCTATTATTGCTACTGGTTTCTGTGCAGCTTCAGGTGGCAAAGGTTTACGCCGCTTTTCAGGCGGTTTACTTGAATCCAAGGGTGGGGTGTCAGATCTTTGAGCTTTGCTATTACTTTTATCTTTCCTGGAACGCTTGCTGCGACCCTCATCTCGTTTCCTTTTTGAGCTTTTTTCAGTTGGATATGAATTGGAAGAGGCTTCACCTCCCTTGCCAGATTTGAAGTTAACACTTACTAAAATATTGTCACCTGACGCAAACACTTCCTTTGAAGGGGCCGGTGATGCATGTCTTCTACCTCCCTTTTTCCCATCTTTCTTCTTTCTTCTTGAATCATCCTTATTGTTTGTTACGATAACTGTGAGGTTTTTATGCGTTTTATTGCGACCACCTGCCATGTCTGTTGTGTTAACATGATCAACTCTCTCTCGAGACCATGATCTAGAATATGAGCGGGCAGCCAAAACTTCATCATCTGACATAGGATACTGAGGAGAACCACTGAGGGACGGAGACCATGAACGTGAAAGGGAACGTGAAAAAGAACGGGACCACGAAGCTTGAGGTCGAGTCTGCTCACGGTCTCTTCTTGAATCCCTCGGTATGTTAGCAGTGGTTTCATTGCGCTGTCTGTTACTTTGGGGCTCAACCCTGTTCTCTCTTGACCTTCTCCTAATCCTTTCTTTACTTCTACTTTTCCTTGGACGATCCTTTGAGCGATTGGGTGATCGGCGCTGAGAGCGAGACCTGTTTCCTGTTCTTAAGCGAGAACGTGATCTTCGCAATCTGGAACGGGATCGTGAACGAGATTTCCTAACACGTGAGCGATCGAAAGAAGCACTTCTGTGTCTTGGTCGGGGCCGTCCTGGAGATCTTCCTCTGGATCTAGACCTACTGCGTGACCTTCCAAGTCTTCTGTGGCTTCTAGAACGCGTCCGTGATCGCCCACGTCCACGGGATCTCGATCTTGACTTTGAGCGAGAATGCGTACGAGATCTTTTTCTTATATCAAGATCACGGCCAAAGGCATCTTTATTTTGACGACTAAGAGTCTTATCAGAGAGAACTTTGCGAACATCATATCGTTCAAGATCTTTCCTCTTTTCTTTCTTTTTTCGTTCCTTTCTGGCATTTTCTCTCTCCTCCTCTCTCTTTTCGTCTTTACTCCTCTCCTTGTCTTTGTCTCTGTCTCTATCTCTGTCTTTACCTTTATCTTTTTCTTTATCCTTTTCTCTCTCCTTACCATCCCTGTAGTTCCTATCTTTGGTGCTCTTTGATGGTTTCTTCCATGATATATCATCCTTTCCTTTATCCTTGTTTTTGTCATCATCCCTACCTTTATCCCTTTTTTTGTCTTTCTCTTTATTTTTATCCTTCTCTTTTGTTTTTTCCTTATCCCTCTCTTTGTTTCTGTTTTCACTGCTGCTTAATGGAGCACGTTCTTTTGAGGGACTCTCTCTTTTTCTGCGAGGTTTTTGTCTATCATTGTCAGTTTTCCCCAACTCAATGTTTTCATCTCCATCTTTTTTAACTTTCTTTCGATCCTTCTTACCTCTTTGACTCTCATCTACAATCTCTCCATCCTCAAAGTCTGCAGGGTCATGCTCACCAGAAAACTTCTTAAGCCTTCGGCTTCCTGGATCACTTTCAGCATCACTTAAGTCTCCATCAAGCATTGCCTCTTCACAATCAGAAATTATCTCAGTTTCCAAACCTTCAAGACCAGGCATTACAGGAGCAGTAGGCACGGAGGAGGTGGCCTGACTATCATCATCAGTGCCAAAAATTTCTTCAACAAGAGCTTGGGTCTTACCTTTAATGCCATCAGACTCTTCTGATGCACTGTCCTCAGACTCATCTCTGTCTGCACTATCTTCAAGGGCTTTCTTTTCACTGTTTTCAATGTCAACTTGAAGGAGAGATTCTTCTCCCGCTTTTTTTTCAGAATCTTCAATTTCAGTGTCTACGTTCACAGATGTTTCCTTAATTGGGTCTAATTCATCTTCTATGTCTTCTCCTTTCTCTGCAGAATTTTGGGTTTGCTTCTTTTTATCATCATCAGATCCTATTTCTCCAACTTGTCTGGCAATGTTTACACTAGCTGCTGAATAAATTGAGAAATTTGGACAATCATCATCGTCATCGTCTTCCTCTGACGATTCATCACCCACTGCAGGGTCAGGTTTACTCTTTCCTTCTTCAGACTCATCAGGCTGCTCATCATTTTCTTTTGACAGGTCACTTGTATTATCATCTGGTGTGTCAATAGTAGATGCATTGAAGTCTTTGGATACATCTTGAGAACCTGTATCACTATCTGCTGGTGTTGCTTTTTCCAATGCATCATCATTTGATTGGCTATCATCAGAGTACTCAGCAGCAGCTGTCAATGCTGGTCCTGGTTCGGGAGGAAGTGGTATTTCATCTGCTCTTGGTTCTGATGAAATATCTGCAGCTTCATTAGAGTCATCACATGGTTCAGCAGGATCATATTTATCTTCAGTCTCATCTGCTGGTCCTTTGGCTCTATCATCTATCACAAGTTCACTATCACTAGCTTCGTCGTCACTATTTTGCTCTCCCATGTTCATCAAAATAGCAGGAGGTTCTGGAGGAGGCATTAGGGCTCCAAACTCTGGATCAGCGTCCTCTCCTGAGCCTCCTTTATTGGCGTCAGCCTCTATGTCACTGTAGATGTCCACTTCATCATCTTCCCTTGGACCATCACCGGTTTCTCCATCCTTGGCAGGATCTTGTGAGCCTGCATCGATAACCCCATCAATCATATCATCATCTTCATCCTCCTCATCATCATTGCCTACAGGCAATGCACCTCTCCTAAGCATAACATTTCTTCTGAGTGGTCTGCGAGGAGCATTTAAACGAAATCTCAGAGGTTGGCTTCTGGGAGGTCGGCCTCCGCTTAAGTTATTGCCCAAGAATTGTTCATACTGAGCACGGGACTGGTCTGGGTTATTAAAACTAGATCGGAAACCAGAATTATTGACATTTCCACTACCACTGTCTCCTCCACCCCCACCGCCACCACCACTACCCCCACCTCTATTTCTTCTGCCACCAGAATTGCTTCCACTGAATGAGTTACTGTGTGAATTTTGTCCACCACGCCTTCCTCCAGAATACTGAGGGGCTTGTACAACTCGGCCAGTGGATAAGTGTGATTTGTCTCTCACATCCACAGTATTTTGTCCAAGTCTTTCCTTAAGTACATCAGCAGGATTGGGTTTCACAACCGGCTCATTCAGCTTGATATCTAATGTTCCATCAATGTTGATTTTTACATCAGTCTTCTTAGAAAGCATCTTAGTTTGGTTGAGAAGAATACTTTCAACCAGGTCACTTCCAGGTTGGGCTGGAGTAACAGGTTCAACTCGAGGTCGTCGATTTGGATTGAGCAAGGCTGCAGCAAGTCTTTTGCGGTTGTTCAATCTCTGAGCAAGAGAAAGTGTTTCACGTGGCTGGTGTACAACAGCCAAGCCACCACCACCTCCCACTTCCTCGTCAGATCTGAAAAAATTCAGCAAATGAAAAATATTTGTCTTGGTTCATGTATTATAGTACACAAAGGGCTTCACAAAAACTCTATTACATAAGGGTAACAGAAAATACAAGTACAAACCCAGAAAAGTAGTCCAGCTGATCCCGTTGACCAAAGAGATGAAGAGTGGGTATACCTGCTCTGCTCCTTTCCAACACAATTCCAGAAATGCTGGGAGCTGATCGTAACTCTGGTGTGGTCTGCCATGGTTGACGGAGAGGTCGCATACCCAACTGCTCAGCAAGTCTGCCTTTCACGGAGTGAGGTAAAACAACTCTTGCAGTGCGGGAAACCTTGCTTGAACGCTGGAAAAACAAAAACAAGATAATTTTCAGTAAGATCAAAAATGCATGTTTTCAAATTTAGGAGCATGAACACATGAAGCGTGGAGCACAATTATTTCCTAAAAATTAACACGGGAGTGTGATCACAGAGTGGTCATGCCACACCTAATAGGTTTGCCTGACGTTAGCAGAACCAACATAATAAACAATTACGGAAGGATTGGAAATAAGTACAATGTTTAACTATTGGCCAGATTGAGGGTGACAACAAAATTAGATAGCACATGTGATACTTCTGCTCCAAGATTCATCAAGATGATAAACCAAAAGAAAACACACACACAAAAAAATACTTTTTTATAAGGATTAACTCAAATCAAATTAAAAAGTGTACCACTTGATTTTCTCAAAATAAAATTGATATGGTCTGCATTACTGTTCTACCAATAGATTCTGGGAGAATGATGGACAATGCACAATTACTCCACCAGTTTTCCACAGAAAGTGCATGTTAAGGATTTTCAAGTTTGTGAATCGAAATTGGAATTAACACCAACGAAAAAAAGAAAAACTAACTGCTCCAAAGCAAACAGGCAACTTTATTACTTGAGACTCCTCATGCTAAAACTTAATTACAGGAACTGAGTAATTCTTTAATAAAAATGAGCACATATTTAACTTTTAAGAAGAGACATAAAACTGTCTTAAAATTGGATTTGAAAGACAAGATAAAAGAAATACTAATTGTAACTAACTCGAATGACAGGATGGCTGGAGAATAAAGCTGTTTCCCTAAAACAGATTACAAACTAGCTAACTACCAAAATGCAATCAAATATTGAGTGCTGATATTCACTATGGAGAAAAGTCTGGGTCTGTGTCTTCATTCATATCATGAACTATGAAACCTCCCGAGGTTTCAGAACCAACCTTCTTTCTCTTGGACTTGCTGCCTAATGTCTTCCTCGCCTTTCGTTTTCTCCCGGTAGTTTTCTTTGTCGTGGTTTTTTTGGAAGCAGATGACGAAGTTCTCTTCTTTGTTGTTGCTTTAGTAGTGCGTTTAGATGTAGTCTTTCTTCGTTTCTTGGGAGCAGATTTTCGTTTAACAGATTTTCGTTTCCGCCTCCTACTTTCACTACGTCTATTTTCTATTCCAGAAGATGTGGAAGGCTAGAAAAACATAGAATAAAATAAACAAACTGTAAAATAGAACAGAATAGGTTTGTAATCGTAAGTTTATATACTTGCCATCGCATTTAGAACTTCTTGTCTTTGAAGGAAAGCACGTCGGATACGCCCAAGCACTCGTTCAACCTGGCGGGTTCTGGGAAGCATTCTAGGAGGGCGACGAGGATGAGGAGTTCCTACATTTTGAGCATCATGCAACAACTCGTGTACTTCATCAATGCCAAAGTCCACCTTAACACACAGATGTCAATATTTTAATGAAATACAAAAGCTATAGATAAAGAGAATATTGGAAGTACAAAAAACTCAGCAAACCTCTTCTGCAATAGGATTATTGGAATTGTTGTGATCACATTCTGAACAGTACCAGTTGTCAAGAGGAACATGACTTAGAGGTGGATCCAAACATTCCATATGATAGCCTAGATCACACCCATCACATAGGAGCATGCGATCTTCACGATCAGAATTACCACACACTTCACAGTATGTGGGGTCATCTACTTCTTCTGCATCTTTCACTTCATTTCTTTGAACAGGAATTTGTTTGACAACTTTCCCTCCAATGCGGCGTCTTACCAAAATCAGAGAAAATTCTTGTCTGTCAACTGGGCAAGTGTTCATATTCTTCAAAGAGAGAAAGTATTTAAGGATTATTATTGATACAGCAAATAGATCGGTATATAATATTATATTAACAAATAAGTAAATACCTTTGACCACTGTTCTAGGCATTCAGCACAAAACACATGATCACATGACTCCGGTGTTCCAACAGCTTGGTTACTGAAGCGCAAAAGGCAAATTGGACATTTTTCAGATGTTCCATCACTGCTGTCAGAAGCAAATCCAGAGGAAGCTGCGACTCCAATAGAAGTTGCAATCTAAACATAAAAACAGTGATGAAGAGGGAAAAAGGAAGATCCATCCATAAAAGGAAGGATGAGCTGTAGATAGGCAAGAAAATTAGATTAGATTCAAAAATATCACTTACATCTTTAGATGCAGCATTAGAAATTGGTGCATGGTGAGGCTCATCTGTTTCACTCATCCAGTCACTCTCCCAATCAGAACCTGAAGATGATATAGAATCCCCAAATCCTTCTTCATCAGCAGATCCTGACACTGATCCATCAACTTCAGCAGCTTCTAGAGAAATTAAAAGCAAATATAGATGTTAGAACAGATTGAATCGGAGGAATTTTAGATTTAAAAATGAGTAATCCTACAGAACTGAAGAATTATTTTTTTCTCTTTTCTTTAAATAGGTGCAGGACAATAATTTACCATTATCAATTAAGCTGCATGCTTCAGATTCTTCCTCATCACAATTATCATCTGCACTGTCAATAACATCACTAAATTCTTCTTCTTCACTCTCAGAGCTCACCCCAGTTTCACACACATCCTCATTATCATCATCTGCGTCAGAACCAGAAGATATCTGGAATGTTCACAAAGATATTCGAATTAAGAAGGGCATTTCAGTTTCATCTACTCTCCAATTTTTAAATAGAGGTGGTTCCTGAGCTTACATTAAGTTTTCTGTGTGAGGAGGACCTAGGTTGAAACACTTCTGAAGTATCTGAATCAGTATCATCACTAACCAAAGTACACTGGAACAGCAAAAATTGAGGTAAGATATTTTATTAGATAGGTACATGGTCAACTCTGGTAAGGAGGCTGTAGCTTATGCTTACAATGGTCCGTTTCTTTGGCCGTGTAGCCACTCCTTCACTGTCAGAGCTTACAGTGGACTTATCAAGTTCATCTGTAGACTTCACAGATCTTCTCTGGGAGGATTTGTCAGAAATTCCATTTGTATTAGGTGAAGCCAAGGAATTACTGGTAGTTTTGGTTTTGGGAGCTATTTTTTTTTTTTTAGTCTCTTCCTCATCACTACTGGAGTCAGAATTTTGAACACCTGCTTGCTTTAGCTTAGACTTCAGGCGAGCCTTGAGGTTTACAGATTTCTGCTCACGGTCAGATGACATTCTTTACCTAGAAACATAAGAAAAGAGGTCAAAAAACTTCCAAGTTGTAAATAGAAACTAACATCACAAATTCTTCATTGAAATATGACTAAAGTAAAATTATAGCTCGTAACAGCATAGCTCATTGAACACCAAGATTGAACCACACAGAAAGAACTGAGATTAAAGAACTGAAATACTGAGGGCATTTGTGCACCTTATGTGTTAAGCACAACACTATCAACGGTTCCATCAAAATTCACTGTTTTCCAGGAACGTTGTGTGTGTACATGTATACGGTAAATATATACATATACATCAAACAAAATAAAAATAAATAAATGTGTGGACATGGTTTTGTTGTATGTTGCATAGAAGTCTTAAAATAAGGTGAGATGGGAGAGGGAACATCAAGGAAGTGATTAATTCAATCCTCCACTCCAATAATTGATCAAAACATAGTCGGACTCAAAATGTTTTTCTAAAAACATAAGCCAATGAGTTTAGGGCGCAGGAGAGGTGGGAGGTTGTTTTATTTTGATTATAATAATACCACAATTTGTAACACAGGTTAGCCGACCGATTTTCTTATCCCTTACGTTGAGCTCTAGGAGTTTACACACTCTGGTCATGAAGAAAAGTCAATGTTCGAGGGTTAAGTAACTGATGCATTATCTATACTACAATAACAAGGTGAAGGAGGGTTCAGCTGTTGAGTAGAGTGCACACAACATAATTAGGAATCAAAACAAGTCTTTAATGAACCTTTGACGGACGGGTTTGAGCTGCGAACAAGTTCGTTATTAAAAGTCTTGACTGAAGCAACATCATTTGCCAACTGGAACGACCGTAATCATTGCCCGCTCAGAACTTTCTGGAATTATTAGCAGCGTGATTTCAAACGCACCGAGACATGAATGGGCGAAGGCTTGAAAAAGTTGAATATCCCTGGAAGAAGCTCACAAAACTCAGTAGGCGCATACAACTCACGAAAACTGACAACCAAGCCGACCTAAAATAAGGGCCATTTTTCTTCACCAGCTTACTGGGGTCTGTTCCTAAGCATTAACAGTCTGATTCGCTCACAAATGGTCAACTATGGTCATCGACCTTGGACGCGGGAAAAATATATCCATAAGACCCAAAGACTTTTACACTTATCAAGTAAAATCCCTATTCAGAATAATAAGGCGCTTTTAAGGAGGTATGTTTGTGTGCTAAAAGTGGTACTTTGAATTGTTTCAGCAGTCTTGAATTGGCGGCACCTTCCACGTGTTATGGAACGGACCCCTCGTTCATTGTCAGGTGCGGCAGCCGTGTGGTGTGGTGTGATTGAAGTTTTGATTACTTCAGTAATTTTAGTTAAAGTACTCAGTATTGTTTTATCTTCTCCATCGTCATGGCTTTGCACGTACCGAAGGCGCCGGGCTTTGCCCAGATGATGAAAGAAGGAGCTCGGGTAAGTCTTAATTTGTTACTTTCATCATGCAAGTCGGCGGTTTAACCTATAACCGAAGTAAGCATGATCTCAATGCCAATAACACATGTTTAAATTTAATCGTCTATCTAACCCATTACATGTCGTAAAGATTGTGCTTCAGTTTTATCTTAAACCCCACTACTGGAACTTCCCTCGCCGTTGTCCTTTTGTTGATATAACTCTCATTCATGAACTCTCAATAGTATCTTATTTAAGTGTCCCGCACAGTAAAATTCAAAGTTAATTTTTCTGTTAATATCAGTAATCCAGGAACTTTCTTCGTTCGTGTCCCATCTTTTATTTTTATTGTGAATTTATCAATTGATGAATAAGTTGTCTCATTTATTTTACAGCATTTCTCTGGTTTGGAAGAGGCTGTTTATCGTAACATAGGTGCCTGCAAAGAGTTTGCCAAGACAGTTCGCACTGCCTATGGCCCCAATGGTATGAATAAGATGGTGATTAACCACATTGAGAAGCTCTTTGTGACCAGTGATGCTGGCACAATTATTCGGGAATTAGACGTAAGTTCGATTGCACAACTTTGCATTATTAAGTAATTGTAAATTTAATTTTGCAACCCAAATACTGCATCTACAGGTTGAACATCCAGCTGCTAAGCTTATGGTGTTAGCAGCTCAGATGATGGAACAAGAAGTTGGAGATGGCACAAATTTTGTCATTATCTTTTGTGGTGCGCTTTTAGAAGGAGCAGAGGAATTGCTGCGCATGGTAAAAATCTGGTTTTGCTCTTTTAAAATGACCCATAACAACTAAATACCACCGTCTTAGAACTTTCTTTTTTGACAGGGTTTGACACCTTCTGAAATATCTGAAGGTTTTGAACTAGCCCTCGATAAAGCTCTTGAGGTCCTTCCTTCTCTTGTTGTTGATAAAGTTGAGGATGTGAGAAATGAGGCTCAGGTCATGAAGGCCCTCAGAACTGCTATTATGAGCAAACAGTATGGCCAAGAGGATTTCATTTCACAGCTTATTGGAAAAGCCTGCAGTAAGAAAATCCCTTTTTTTTGTTTAAAAAAATCCACTTTCTATTCTGATATACTTCTGTTAAACTTGTATTTTTCTTCTAGTTTCTGTCTTGCCTGAAGGTGGTTCTTTCAATGTCGATAATGTTCGAGTATGCAAAATTCTGGTATGTTAAAATAATTAACGACTTCTTATTTCATTTTAGTGTTGTCCTTTTTTTACTGTATTTGTACATACACATGTCGACATTCATAATGTGCACCTTAATTCTCTCTCAAGGGCTCGGGGCTTAATAACTCATCAGTTGTTCAAGGCATGGTATTTAAGCGCCAGGTTGAAGGTGACATCAGCAAAAAAACTAAAGCAAAAATTGTTATCTACACCTGTGCAATTGACATAATGCAAACAGAAACCAAGGTAAAATCAATCTTAAATTTTACACTATATCTCACTTAAATTTTCATGTTTAAATTCTTTTTTTCTACTTTACTTTTTAATTTTAGGGTACAGTGTTGATTAAAAATGCTGATGAACTGAAGAACTTCTCTAGAGGTGAAGAGAGTATGCTAGAAAGTCAAATCAAGGCTATAGCTGATGCTGGAGCTGATGTTGTAGTTGGTGGTGCCAAGTTTGGTGATATGGCTCTCCACTACTTGAATAAGTATGGCCTGATGGGTGTCCGTCTTACCAGCAAGTGGGATCTTCGTAGGCTTTGCAAGGCTGTTGGTGCCACAGCGTTGCCCCGAATGGTAATGTATTTTCAGCATATGTCAGGAGCATCTCTCCTGAACAGACTAGTTAATTCACATATCTTTTTTTTTAGACTGCGCCCACTAAGGAGGAGTTGGGTTATGCTGATATTGTTTGTGTTGATGAAGTTGGTGACACAGATGTAGTTGTATTCCGCTTGGAAGGAAAGGAATCACGTGTGTCAACTATTGTTGTTCGCGGTGCTACCAATAATTACATGGATGATGTAGAAAGAGCTATTGACGATGGAGTAAACACATTCAAAGGTGTCTCTAAGGTAAGGAATCATTTGAGTTTAATTATGTTTATATCTAGTTCATTTATAAATTCAAATATTGTATTCAATGTTTGTTAACAATTATTTTACTAGGACGGGCGTTTGGTAGCGGGTGCTAGTGCAACAGAGATTGAGCTTGCCAGACAATTGACGTCGTATGGTGACACTAGACCTGGTCTTGAACAGTATGCTGTCAAGAAATTTGCTGTTGCCCTGGAAGGGTTTGCCAAAATTTTAGCTGAAAATACTGGTGTGAAAGCCAATGAACTTGTCTCCAAACTTTATGCTGCCCATGAGGAAGGTCAAAAAACAGCTGGGTTTGACATCAATGTGAGTGGCCCAATACAATCTGTCTAACTGAAGTAGTTTGTTAACCCATTAACTTGTCATTCTAAGTTGAGTAATTGTCATTCAATTTTTTTTCCAGGCTGAAACTGCTAGTGTGTGTGATGCTGTCACGGCAAACATTCTAGACCTCTACTTAACCAAAATGTGGGGTATGAAATATGCAACCAATGCCGCCTGCACTATTTTGAAAGTTGACCAAATTATTATGGCCAAGAGGGCAGGGGGACCTAGACCCCCCCAGCAAGGTGGTGCTGACAATGACGAAGACTAAATGTTTAGTTCAGAAATATACACTTCACCTTCATGTTAACTTGCTATTGCTATTTATTCTGGGCCTCTTATCTAAATTGTTACATGAATTATCATCCATGATACATGTGTGCCTTCACCCAGTGCTTCATAAGACTCTGTTTACAATGCGTTTGTGATCTAACTTTTATAGAATAAATCAACTACTTACATTTATTAATATACTCGTTTGTAATTATTCCCAACACAAGAGTTTATATAGGTGTTTTCCTCATTTAATTTGATTAGTGGAATCAAAAGTTTTCAAACACTCACTATATCAAATATTTTACTTGACACAAGAAAATAAGAAAGTACATATCAACACGAAATGATTTATTTCATTATATACAATAATCTAACAAATGAAGTTTTAACAGCTACTCGGAAGAGATTAGTTGTCTGGAATTCCATCTAATCCCTGAAAGAAAATACAGTTGGTTAGAACAGAGTACATTTCCGGCTGTCAAGAACATTTTATCGGATAACATTCATGATGTTAGGTCTGAATTCATTTCTTGAATTATGGTTGTAAAACTTTCAGTATTGATTCCACTTACCAAATGTTTATGTTGCCTGTATGGGTCTTCATTGTTGAGTAGCCTCTTATCACGGAATATTTTATAAAGATCAAGATTGGTACTCCTATCACGTCCTTCAGCCTGAAATTAATTACAATTTTTTTAAGGGAAAACAGAGACATTGGTGCACACATAGGGTTATGTTAACGTATCCAACACCGATTTGTTGAGGCGAGAAGCAATCGGATAATATTAAATACAATAACAATAAAGTTGTGGTAAAATAGTACAATTAAAAACTGGTCTTTACTAGCTTGACAACAACCCAGTAAGTATGGATTAACTTTAAAAAAAAAAAAGTAAACTGGAAGTAAAGATTGTGACAACTTACACTTCCCGTCCAAATCCAACCCAGTATGGGAACTGCAACGCCTGGAATGTAGACCAGGCCTCCCGTTATGATCAAAGACGGTAAAATGTTCCACCACATTTTGAAACCTCAACGACTTTTAACAAAATCTGATCAACTGAACTGACTGTAAGACGGCTAGAGCAAGGAAGGCTGAAAGGAACTCTGCAAGATATCCATCAACTACAAGAAAACAACTCATACGACTACGGCAATGCGACAACCTTTAAAAAAAAAAATCGTCCAAATTACTTTAAAAGCATAAGAAATCACCCTTCCTAAATATTCACGCTTCATCAAAATTACTGAAGTATAGAAGTATTGAACTTCTAAATGTATGATCCCCTTTTGTCTTTAATTTTCAGAAAAAGATTTGGCAGTTAATAGTCAATGCCTGCCCTTTACTCTCCCACTTAAGCTACCGCAAGCCTCAGTGCACTCTCTACTCGTAGTGAGGTTCCTGTGGTTGTGTGTGAGTGTTAGTGTGACGTGATGTGTAGTTGTGTGAGTGAACAACAAGGGGTTGTGTAGAAGTCGTCAAACGAGACCCTCAGAAGGCGTTTTGGATCCAGCAGCAGCCGCAAGAAACTGTGAAAAGCCGGTTTCTGAGGAACATTTTACACCACTTGTGTACCGCTTTGCGGATTATTTTGTCTACTGTCGTTCCTTTCCTCAGAGCCTAAAAAATGGCGAGCGTTTCGTATCAGATTGCGAATTTGTTGGAGAAAGTAAGTGTGAGCTGCTATAGTGTTTTCGAGCCTTTCAGGCCACTGATGTTGTGTGTCATTGTGCTCATTTAAAACTTGCAATCTTGTACTTGAAGGGAGTGTTATCAGAGATTTGTCTGTCGCCCCATTTATTGTTTACATTCGGTCAATTATTTTTGCATCGCTAACTGTTATCCTGCTTGCGCTATCATGTACCCCACTTGCCTGTCTTTGTTGTCAGGTAAGGTTATGGGCCTGTTGCCTTTCCCAAGTTAACAAGCTATGTGGTGGCTGGCAACCTCCTTTGACTTTAATGCCTAGATACATGCTCATCAAAAATTGTAAAAATCAAAAAATTACTTGCGTGCTACTTTTTTTCATTGAGCATTAAGTGCCATATTTATTGCCTCTAGTCTGGTGAAGTGTATCGTATGCATGTTCAATATTTGGTGCTACACACTCCATGCTTCTTCATATCCCATTCAGTTGCTTTAACACTTTTTGTCTCTTAACTTTTTAAATTCTGTTCAATTAAATCACAGTTCTTTCCTGATATTAAATATTATTACCTAAGTCAAAAAACCTGAAGACTAAGCGGACAAATCTTTAAGTAATACACATTTTTTGTAGGATTCCAAATTATAGTTAAGTTGATTGAAACTTCTTATTGATTCTTCTTATTTTTTAAATGTGGGTCTGTATGATCACACTGTTGCTCTCTTCTCATTCACGTCAAATGTAGTAGTATGCTGTTTTCACTCAACATGGGTTCAGTTCTCTGTTTGTTTGCAGCAACTCTATTTGTTTTAATATTTCTGTCTTATAGATGACATCAAGCGACAAAGATTTTCGCTTCATGGCAACAAATGATTTAATGTCAGAACTCCAAAAGGATAGTATTAAACTGGATGATGATTCTGAACGTAGGGTGGTAAAGATGCTTCTTCGACTTCTAGAAGACAAAAATGGTGAAGTGCAGAATTTAGCTGTAAAATGGTAAGTTATTGTCAACCAAATCCTAAGTTTTTATTCTAAGTTACAGTATGAACATCAATGTAATCTTGAAAATGTTGTATGTTGTAGTTTGGGCCCATTAGTTAACAAAGTGAAGGAATATCAAGTGGAAACCATTGTGGATAGTTTGTGCTCCAATATGATATCTGAGAAAGAACAGCTTCGTGACATCTCAAGCATTGGTCTAAAAACAGTTATCAGTGAACTGCCACTGACATCCAGTTCTCTGGCATCTAACGTATGCCGCCGCATCACAGGCAAACTTAGCAATGCCATTGAGAAAGTATGATTTTATATACAAAACTCTGAAGATTTTCTTTGGATTATTTTCTTAATGTAAGATTTCTTTAATTTCCAGCAAGAAGATGTTTCTGTTCAGTTGGAAGCTCTGGATATTTTGGCTGATCTACTGTCACGATTTGGATCACTCCTTATCCCTTTCCACCAACAGATACTGCATGCTCTGCTCCCACAACTCTCCTCTCCTAGGCAGGCTGTTCGCAAGAGGTGTGTTCTTTTCTATTTTTCCTTTGCTAGCTTTATCTACTTTTTCTATTTAAATAAGCAAAACTGGACTAATATTCTGTTGCCTGTGTTTAACTTTTGGAATGTGTTTCTTTTTTCAGGACAATTGTGGCCTTGAGCCATTTGGTTATGTCTTGTAACCAAATGCTGTACACTACTTTGATTGATTTTCTCTTAGAACAGCTTTCCAAAAACTCATCAACTTCCACGACTCGCACATACATTCAATGTATTGCTTCTCTCTGGTCTGTCCTCATTTATTTTGTCAGTTTGGTTAGTATTTCATGATTTCATGCTCATGTGTGGTCTAATCCATTTTAATTTGCAGTCGGCAGGCTGGACACCGTTTTGGTGAGCATATTGAAAGAGTGATGAATTTGTTAGTAAAGTACAGCCAGGAAGAAGATGATGAACTAAGAGAGTACTGTCTGCAGGCATGTGAAGCATTTGTGCATCGATGCCCCAAGGAAATAACACCTCACATTCATTTGGTACTGTACTACTATTGTGAAGATAGCCCTTTTATTCTGCATGTTACTAGTGAAATGAGTTATCAATTTTCTGCTCTCTCTAGATTGTGAAGTTGTGTTTGAAATACATTACTTATGACCCCAACTATAATTATGATGATGATAATGGAATGATGGATGATGAGGCCATGGAAACAGAGGAAGATGATGATGATGACAATGATGAATATTCAGATGATGATGATATGAGTTGGAAAGTTCGCCGGGCTGCTGCTAAATGTTTGGAAGCAGTCATAGCTACCAGACATGAGCTCCTGGCTGAGTTCTATAAGACTGTCAGCCCTGCACTCATTGCACGCTTTAAAGGTAGGTGACTTAGTCTGTGACCATCAAAGTACCAAATCCATTTCTCTCTACTAATATTATCACTAATATTAACAGAACGTGAGGAAAATGTGAAGAGCGACATCTTCCATGCCTATGTTGCCCTTCTTAAGCAAACCAGGCCTACTGCTGTGAACATGGACCCAGATAGTATGGAGCAGGAAGAAGGTCCTCTTTACCTTCTACAAGCTCAGGTCAGTTTCTCATCAAACTATTTGTTTGGTTTGGTTTTTTGTCCATTTTATCTATCTACAACAATATTTAGTTATATCTAACATGGTTTAATTTCAGATTCCTGCCATTGTGAAGGCTGTGCAACCTCAAATGAAAGAAAAGAGCATTAAAACTCGCCAAGACAGTTTTGCCTTGCTAAAGGAACTGACTGTAGTTTTACCAGGGGCTCTGACAAATCACATTGCATCCCTTCTTCCAGGCATCCAGTATTCATTGGGGTGAGTTCTTAAACTCGGGAAACTTCTCTCCACGGCTACTTAATATCTTCTATCTCAAAATATTGTTTGTTCTTTTCCAGTGATAAGAATTCTAGTAGCAATATGAAAATTGACACATTGGCATTCCTGAATTGTCTCTTGACTACACACACTCCTGAGACATTCCATGGCTTTATGAATGTTCTTGTTCCTCCCATTATCACTGCAGTTGGTGATTCGTTTTACAAGATTACAGGCGAGGCCTTATTGGTCCTGCAACAGCTTGTAAAAGTCATAAGACCTCTTGGTAAGTTAATTTTATTTGGAATGTAGTTAATATCTTACTTTAACTATTTAAAAATCTCATTGCTCTTAGTATGACTAATGCTGCTGTTTCCATTTACTTTCAGAACCACGGAGCAGTTTTGATTTCACTCCATTTGTAAATGATTTGTACCAGTGCACGGTTGTGAGACTAAAAGCTGCTGATATTGACCAGGAAGTGAAGGAGCGTGCAATTTCATGTATGGGACAAATACTGTGCAATTTGGGTGATCATTTACAGGTATTTTCATGTTTTACTGTGTTAGTTAGCCACCTGACTCGTGAGCCAATATTTTTGGCGTCCCTCAAACAAAATACAGATGGGGAGGGAATGTTGCCTTTTCTCTCTTTTAAAAAATGTTGGAAAGCATTAGGAAATTTCATTAGCTGTGTGAGTACACAGTTAAATTTTGTGAAAACATCATATTTAATTGATTCAAAGTCTCTCCCTGAAATTTATGTAGGGTCTCAGGAAAGTCTCCCATAACAGCTCTGCAAAACGAATAATCGATTCTAAGCTACATCCTTACTGCGGGGTTTCGAACCCCAAAAATTACATCCCGGTACAACTCAGAATCCAATAAATTTAGTTCATCGTTTTCTATTATTTCAGGCTGAATTACCAACATGTTTGCCTATTTTCTTGGATCGTTTGCGTAATGAGATAACTCGATTAACTACTGTGAAGGCCCTAACAAAGGTTGCAGCCTCTCCTTTGCATATTGACCTTTCTCCAATTATTGTAAGTACCCCTAGTTTCAAATCTGCTTATGAAGTATAAAAATTACCAAACTAATGTTGTTGGTTGATTTAGTTGGACGCTGTTCCTGTACTTGGTTCATTCTTGCGGAAGAATCAAAGAGCCCTTAAACTCGCCACGTTAACTCTCCTTGACACATTTGTGAAGAACTATGGTTCAGCTTTGAATATCACACTACTGAATGCTGTAAGTACTTCAGCTATTGGTTCCCATGTATTCTAAATATTTCTGAAGATCTAATCAATCGGTCAAAATGTCTTCAGGTGATTGTTGAGCTGCCACCTCTCCTCAGTGAGGCTGATTTGCATATTGCACAGTTGACGCTTCTTCTACTCACTTCAATTGCTCGACTTCAACCTCAAGCCCTGTCTTTTGTAGCAAATGCTATTTTACCTGAAACATTGAATCTAGCAAAGTCACCTCTTCTTCAAGGTAAAATCATTGGAGACAATTTGTGTCTTCAATATCTAGATATTTTAAGTTGTATGTGTACGTTGAATGAATTCCTAACTTTGTTTTCCAGGAGCTGCATTATCTTCAATGTTGGAGTTCTTCCAGGCCCTTGTTGCTGCCAATTTACCTGGGTTGGGTTACAGAGATCTACTTCAGCTGCTCATGGCTCCAATCACTGTAAACAGCAGCAGTCCCACTGTATCAGCTACTCCAACATTGCACAAGCAGGTAAATTCTTAACAATATCTTCTGAAACTTTGTACATCTATCAATCCATCTATTTTATCTCACTTTTATTTTCATTGAAATAGGCATTCCATTCTCTTGCAAAATGTGTTGCTGCACTGACAGTGACATGGAAACCGGAGGCTATAATGGTTGTTGAGCAATTCCTGGGAGATGTTAATGGTCAACGTTCTGACTCTCAGCATATATTTGCTCTTCTAGTAATTGGAGAAATTGGTCGTCACATGTGAGAATTGTTTCGTTGAGTCTGAAGTAGGTAGTAAAGTAATTTCTTTGTTTGACATTTGCAACTTTTCTATTTCCCATGTTGCAGTGATCTTTCTGGCATACAACACCTTAAACAAGTAATTTTGAACTCCTTCTCACACCCTTCGGAAGAAGTTAAGTCTGCTGCTAGTTATGCTCTAGGCAGCATTGCATTGGGTAATCTCCAGGAATTTCTTCCCTTCGTGTTACAAGAGATTGATGCTCAGCCTAAGAGGCAGTACCTCTTGCTTCATTCACTTAAGGAGGTAATGTCCTATTTTTCTATAATTTCCATTAAAAGCTAAAATTTTAACATCTAACGCAATCAACACTTTTAGGTCATCTCTTGTCAATCAACATCTTTGGCTGGAGTTCAACAGTTGCAGCCATTCGTCCCTGCAATTTGGCAGCAACTCTTTCGGCATTGTGAATGTGCTGAAGAAGGCACAAGGAATGTTGTCGCGGAATGTTTAGGGAAACTGACTCTCATAGATCCAGAGAACTTACTGCGCCGCCTTCAAGAATCATTGAACTCCCCTTCAGCCCTAATGAGAACAACAGTTGTGACTGCTGTTAAATTTACTATTTCAGACCAGGTCAGAATTTTTTTCAAGCATCATCCTCTCATGTATGCTTTAATGATTTATTATTTTTCCCCCTTGTCTTATTTTTTACATATATTTTAATTATTTGTTTAGCCTCAAGCCATTGACCCCTTATTGAGGCAGTGCATTGGCCAGTTCCTCAGTACCCTTCAAGACCCAGATCTAAATGTGCGACGGGTTGCTCTTGTAGCTTTCAACTCAGCAGCCCACAATAAACCATCCCTTGTCAGAGATCTTCTGGATACCGTTCTTCCTCACCTATATAGTGAGACTCAAGTTAGAGTAAGTGTATCTAAAAATCAATGAAAATTTTCTCCTTTCAGTTGACAAAGGTTTTTTCTAATTTTGTTAATTATTTTAACAGAAAGAGTTGATTCGAGAAGTTGAGATGGGTCCTTTCAAACATCGAGTAGATGATGGTCTGGATATTCGTAAGGCAGCTTTTGAGTGCATGTATACTCTGCTGGATGCATGCCTTGAAAGACTGGATGTATTTGAGTTTCTCAACCATCTCGAGCATGGATTGAAGGATCACTATGACATCAAAATGCTAACCTATCTTATGGTTGCCCGTTTAGCGCAACTTTGCCCTACTGCTGTTCTTCAAAGTAAGTGAGGAGGCCTTTTTCACTGTCGCACACTTAATCTTATTAAAAGTAAAATTGTCACCTGTTTTTTACATTTTTGTGCAGGGTTGGAGAGATTAGTTGAGCCTCTGAGAAATACTTGCACTATGAAAGTAAATCCTAACTCAGTGAAACAGGAGTTTGAAAAACAGGATGAATTAAAGAGATCTGCCCTCAGAGCTGTTGTTGCTCTCTTGACCATCCAGGATGCAGGTAACACAATTGCTTTCTCTCATTGTTTTGGAACTTTAAATATCAAAAGTAGTTCAAATTGTAATTTATTTGTTTGCTTTTACCCTTCAGACAAAAATCCCAATTTGACAGAATTTGTTACTCTGATCAAAAGTACTCCTGAGCTGCAGAATGTTTTTGAAACTATTCAAAAGGATAGTTCTGTTTCAAGTCAAGACTCAAACCAAATGGATTTGAGTTGAACTTAACGTTCTTTTCATTGTGATCTAATGATAAGTTGTAAGGAAATCACCAAAAACTTTCTACTCTGGAAATTTACTTCAAGTGACCATTAACCTATGTCCAATTTCTTAACCTTACCTCTATTACTTGGATCTGGTTGGTTTTATCTCATCATTTTGTGATCGTAAATGTTCACCTGACTGTCTTCAGTAACAAACAAAACAACTAAAAGTTGTTAGCAAGGAGTAATTCTTTTTTTTTTTTTTTTTTGCTAAGTAAGTTTCCCTGATCATTTTAGGAAGTCTATGTGATTATAGGTTTTAATATGGTAAAGTTTTGATAATTTATAATTGTGTGTTAACTCTGTATATTTGAAGTCAGGGAATTGAACTTAAATAAGATGAAATATCAGATAAACTGATATTGTCTGTCAACAAATAATCAAAAATAAAAGTTTTTCATTTGAACCAGCAGAACTTAATGCAAAAATGTACTTTATTTAATCAATCACTTTTCAACCTCTACAGTCTGAAATGTACACATGCCTGATTGATTATAATTTGAAAGTTGGTGCATTTTCGAGCTTCTGTAAAGACTGGGAAGGCATTTTTCACTCGCTGGGGATTCTTTTCGAATCATCTTCCCTTTCCACACCTTCTGACTGTTTACGCTTCCTTTTACCTTGATTACGTCTCTGCTTTTCTTGAATTGACCCATCTTGAAGACTGCAAGAATTTTCTCAAATTTTTATTGAACATATAAAAATATTAACAATAATTAAATGACAGTTTTAACTCACTTTGCTATTGATCGGATGCCTGGCCCCCAGAATTTTATTGGGTTGATTTGATATCTGCACTTCCTCTTTTGTCTCGAATCTGGATTGGCGTCTGGATGTATAGTAAAATCAATTGTTGAAGAGATGGGCTTACTTAAAAGCTTAGAACTAATCTGTAGGAAATTATAGAATTAACCAAGTAGGAGTCATTAGTAGCCCTGGAACCATGTTCTTTAATTCTCCAATGCATTGAATTACTTACAGAACCTTCCTTCAATTGTTTCTCAGTTACTGGCTTGTCTTTTCCCCAAGCCCGCAAAATGTCCCACACAAAACTTTGGGGAGCATCTGTCTTGAAGCATGATGGCTTAACATGTGATTGGGACAATCTGTAGCCTGCATTAAGAAACGCAGAACTGAAACAAAACAAAGGAGAATTGATATTTTACAGATACTAGACATCTCTTTTGAATGCCATGCACTCACCCCAAAATTATTAGTAATTTTGTAATTAGCATGTTAAAAACAAAATACATTACCTAAATGTTAGAACAGGCATGGTAGATACTCCCATTAAAGATGACAAACGATCCAGTTTATAATACAATGGTATGTCATCAAGCTCTTCTTCCACAACAGAAAGCATTCCTTCAAGGCGTTTACAAGTTCCAAACTTTTCAACAGCCTCTTCCTCAGACAATGCATCCAACAACCTTGTTACAAATGCCTTATCATGGATGGGGGCATTCCATATGGGTCCTCCTACATGATACCTCATGTCACAATGTGGACAGTTTTCAGAAACTGAAGGTACATGAGGCAACACAGTTTTCATTTGATTTGGATTATTTGGGTTAATGTTTTTGTATTCACCCAGTGGTTGTAAAGTCAATGTTTCACAGCCAACACATTGATAAACCATGGACAGTTTGCTAAAACAAAGTTGCACAAAATTGTCACTTTAAGGTAGTGCTGTTCAGATTATTATAAAACTCAGCTTTAACTTACTTAATACTTCTTTTACAAATAGATGGGCTGCTGTTTATTCTAACAAACATTCTGATGTAGAAATCTGCACTGACTGATAAAAGTGGTGTAATATAACGCCCATAACGGTTGGCGTGGGATTCAATACATTGAAGAGCAATTCGTAGAGCCTAAAAGATAGAACAAGCCTTCAAATTCTAAAACAAGATAAACATGAATTTTCACTCTGAATGTTTCTAAACTACGCCCAAATACCATTTCATAGCAACATGGATTTCTCAAAGATATTGCTCCATATTTTGAGTAACAAGTCTCCGGGGAGTTTCCAGCCAAAACAGCCATATCTGTACATGTCACCATCAAAAGACCATCACTTGCCACTGCTTGAACAGCCCCATCAAGAAACTGAGAGGGACAGCCATAAGGATCCAGATCAACAACATCAAATCTTGGGGAAGGAGGTCTGTTTTGATACATAACCATCCTGTTGGAAAAAAACAATAGTGTGGGCTCAATTATTTTAGGAGGGTTTTAATGGCTTTTAGGAGTTACTCAACTCACGATGCATCATTGTGGCTAGGAGACACCAAATGTTCAACTTTATTGAACGCAATATTAGCTTTTAGACTCTCCACTGCTGAGGGTGAAAGATCATTAGCAACTATGCGCTTCACACCAGGAACTTCTTTAGCATAGCGGATACTTCTTAAACCAGTTGCTGCCAGAGCTTCTAAGATGACCATTCCATCCTATAAATTAAAAAATTGAATAACTAATCACTGATAGATGATGATTCAGCAAATAAAGTACAATTTATGTACTGTAGGCATTATGGAAGTACCTCATATGTTTCACCAGGTCTTAAATCTAGTTTGGGCTCATCTACAGTAGCAGTAGATTCATCAGTTTTTGAGGCATTTCTTTTTAGTTCCTTCTCCTTTTTGATCCTCTTCTGATTGAAATGGTCTTGAGCATGAATCGACAGTACCAAAATGCTGCAAGTGATAATGAATGTAAAAAGTAGCCCGAAAAGCCTCACAATATAAGCTCAAGAACACAAAATGTCAGCTATCATTTGTCACTAGCTGCCTTTATTCTTCGAGATTAACATGTTTAGAAAACTGAGAAAAGAAAATGGCTTTTTGAAGTACGCCTGTTCTACAGAGCGACATTTAATATCTTTTTCATGTTTTCTAAGCCATATTCTTAGATGTTGTTCATGAGTTGAGTTGTGATGCACAAGTGCCAACAGCTACAACTTATTACTTACACGAACATCACATCACAACAAAGAAACAGTTTATTTCCAAGTACCTCAAACCACAGCCGACGTCCAAAAATATGTATACAACACAACAAGATACATCTTATGTTGTACATATTATAAACCAGGCTTAAACATAGCAATAGGTAACGAACTACGGCTGACAAGTGGGGCAACAGAGGAATCTTAGACATAATATGAAATAGAAATGCACAGAAGAAAGCTCTAATTCTATTAATACATGCCTCAAGTCCCTATTAAATTCTTGCACAGGGTTATAAAATACGTGTTTGGAAGATTCTTTGAGAATTTCTGCTTTCCCCTCTTTGATGGTGCCTTCTGAAACTGAAATAATCTCCTGTCCTACAGGCTTCATATCTAAAGTATTGGCATCGTTGGATTTATTGCCATCCATACCTGTAAGGTATAAGAGACAGTTGTATTGTACATTTACAAATGTTATTCATTCAAAGCAATAAGAATCATTTCGGCCCTCACTAGCAGTAGCAGAACCCGAGCCCGAGCACCGGTAGTGAGATTGAAAGATCTTCTGTAGAACTGCAAATGTTTTGCTCCAACGGCAACACGACCATGAACCAGGAGAGTTTTTAAACCAGATTACGTTTGGCATCCCATTCACCCTTTCGTGTGGCGAAAAGGTCGCTATTAGTCGCAAATTTTAAAGATGAAATGGAACCATGTAACAACAACAACAACGTGGATGTCGTAGGTTACGACGACGCCACACACTGCCTTTGGACACTGCCTTTACTACTGCCTCTTGCGCTACTTGAGTAGTCTCGTCGCAGGGTCTACCAGTCCACATCCACTTTAGCGAATGCGATTACGATTTCTGTGTGGTGCGCCACTAGACAACCATCTTGTTTCCGTGCGCTGCTTGTCATTGAAGTGGAAACTTGTTGCAAGTGCAAGTGCCAGCCGACGTCCCGCCCCGTGAGCATTTACGCGCCCCCCGCACCTCGCCCTTTTGCCCCTTTCTTTTCAGCCCCAGGACGATCTCCAGCGGTCTTGGTGTGGCCAGCGCGGCTCGCCAACGACGGTGTTTGTGATTTTGTGGTGGGAGCGCGAGCGCCGCTGCGGTGGTGCTAGGGCCGTAAGGGCCGAGCTTTCCTGCCCAAGTGTCCACCACACCCATTAAAAATAGGCCTGTCGGATACCGCGGTTATGGACATGATGATCTCCAACTTGCAACAACAAAGGCAAGTGACGGAGCAGCTGCGACGGGAGGCGGCCATCAAACGCATCAGCGTGTCGCAAGCCGTGGCCGACATCATGAAGTTCATCTCTGACCACGAGCAGGAGGACTGCTTGGTGGTGGGCTTCAGCTCGGAGAAGGCCAACCCGTTCCGCGAGAAGAGCAGCTGCATTCTTCTTTAGCAGGGCCTGAAGTGACTACACCAGCGGGCCCTTGTGTGTGTATGAATGGATGTGTGAATGTGTGTGTGCTCTCATGTGTCAATCGATCGTGTCTCCCCGCAATGGAGTGGTTTCTCTCTGTGGACCCCACCTCCTCTCATCAGGTGGTGGCTATTTTCAACCTCAGTGTATTGCCCCTCACTTTGTTCAGTCTAGACACTCTATACCACTGCACCATTCTAACATGTATTTGAATATGTGATAGAAAATGTGTGTCCAGTTGCTTCTTTTCATTATCTTTGACCAATTTGTATCATTGTCATTATGATTTAGCCCCACTATCTTAAAATACTTGTGGTAAACAGTACTGAATTAATTTAGTTATGTTTTGCCATTGGCTGCATTGAGACCAAAGCTAGATTGTCTATCTTCTTATATTATTATTATTATTATTGTTATGAGTAGTGCTGTTATGGTGTCTCTGGGCCTGCTGGTAAAAATTGTGTATGATTGTGGTTATATCTCACATGTTTCCACTTAGTCTTTCCCTTTTTCTCCTTTGCAATGAAAGTGACTATAGATCATTTAGTCACTGTTGCCTAAGAAAATTGACTTATAATTTAATCTGATAGCATTTTTGTTCAAGAACACTATCTGGTGCTACAGTATATTATATTCCTCTGACCTTTCTCTTCTTAGTTGCTGCCTACACATTCGTCATGCTGAAATGTTAGACATGACTAAAATTAATACTTTTAGATATTCTTGACTTTGTTCTGATTTCTACATTAGCAATTTCAATGTTGTCCTCACATAATGACAGTTTAGATTAGATTTCCATCCTATGTATCCAAGTAAATGTTATTTTCTTGTAAATTATATGCTTTTGTTTTGTCAGTTGCAACGATTAAATGAAAGTAATGCAGTGCATTCTTCAACTCTCCAAAGTAATCTTCATTCTTATTCTCCTCAGTATTAATTTTATTTATGGCACAACTCTTTGTACAAACAACACCATAGAATCATGCACACATCAAATGGTTCTCCCCTCCCAGTAAAAGAAACTATTTTTGCTGCGAAGCAACGCAAGAAAGCAAGTTATTTCATTAAACCAGCTTGTAAGACCTTTCATTCTATACAGATCACACAGAATATCACAATAGTACAATCCTTAACTAAATATAAATGAAAGTTTGTTTCTTCACGATTTAAGGAGACTGATTTTTCAATGATTCCTGCTTGATACGATAGTCGGCCAAAGCTGCTTTGATGGCATCCTCAGCTAACACTGCAAATACAAAAACATTGACATGACATGTATAGTTATATGAACCAAAAGTAAATTTACATTTTGCATGGAACTTACTAGAACAGTGAAGCTTCACAGGCGGTAGGCACAATTCCTTGGCTATATCTGTGTTCTTGAGTTTCAATGCTTCATCGACCTAAATCGTTCAAACAATAGTGAATGTGCTATCTATAATCAAATTACTCCAACATGGAAAGATAAGATCTTGTATTGTACCAACCGTTTTTCCTTTCACCCATTCTGTTGCTAAGGATGATGACGCTATTGCAGATCCACAACCAAAGGTCTTAAATTTAGCATCAACAATCTTTCCATTTTCATCCACTTCCACCTGAAGTTTCATGACATCACCACATGCTGGTGCTCCCACCAATCCAGTACCAACTGAGGATTTTTTCTTGTCGAGGGTTCCAACATTCCGAGGATTTTCATAGTGATCAATCACCTGTAAATATAAAAATTATTGCACAACAGTAACTGAAAAATGAAAAATATGATACATCAAATGTTATCTACAGGAAATGTGAAGAGCAAAATAGCAAACAACGTTTACTGACAAGCAAGGTTAACTGACAACTTGAAAGTTTGTTATTAGATGTGACAAGATTTTAGCCTAAACTAACCTTTTCATGGTAAAGAGCCGCTGGAAGACTTTGCGAACGCGCTTTGAGAAGAGTGGATGCACCTATTCTAGCTAACGGAGATACCCACGCCATGGTGAAGTGCTTTGTAATGTGATCTGTCACGAAAAATAACAGGCAAAATAACAACGCACTACACAACCCACTACCTGCAAATGTAAAAGCAAAAGCAGGGGAAAACAGGAAAAGATGGAAGCAGAAGAAAAATCGAACATCCACGAACCTCTGTTGCTGCGAAGCCCTGTAGCGATGCTATTGTGCAATAGATGAAAAATTGCGTGTCGAGATTTGACAGCACAGGACGTTGCGAATTTTTGTCCGTCCTATTGAGAATACTCAATCTCGTTATTATTTTGTAAATATAGTAAAAGGCTTCATGCTGGTGCAGCGTTCCCGAGATCCTTTGAAATCCTAATGATTCATTTATTTCATTTTAACAAATATGGACCGAGTACTTTCTCATTTGTTCTTCCCGATGGTGCATTTAGTCTCGTGCGTGAAACCTAGATGAACAAGACTGATGAAGTGGGAGGGGGGTGGAAGCTTACAGTAGGCAACCATTTTGTTTTCCTCCGTCCTGTCAAAAAACTGGCTGCAGTAAACAAACAAAGGGGCTGAAAACTTTTAGCTATCCCATTTCTTTGAGTCCTATGTTAAGTAATATGGCTGCCACCGACGAGCGTGCCATTTACGCAAAGCTGGAGGCCTTAAAGGAAGTCAGGTGAGTGTTTACGGAACCCATTTACATCCTTAGGCCGGCTTCATGAAAACATCCTCATCCTCCTGTGAATTTGAGATTTTACCCTGTACTTTGATGGCTGATCAAATTATTTCGTTTCATTACACTTCACCCATATATTCTCCTGCTTCTCAGTTCCGGTTCCAAATTTTAGTGTACTCAACTTTTGTTTCGTTCCAGCTATAAATTTTGGTTATTTGTTTTTTTATGTACATGTCAAGAATGTTGTTGTAGTTCTTTTATTCTATTGTTAACAAACTGAATGATGTTTCAGAGCCAAAACCATGCAGTTGGAGAAAATGAAACTGAGAATAATGCAGGAAGTTGAGGCCAATGAAGCAGAAGAGAAGTGTCTCTCGGAGTACAAACAAGAGATGGATATGCTGATGCAAGAGAAGATGGCTCATGTTGAAGAACTTCGACAAATTCATGCTGATATTAATGCTGCAAGTGTTATTATTTTTCTGTAAGACTCAAGATAGTTTGAAATTGATTTTGGATCTTAAACTCTCTTTTTGATATTGTAGATGGAGACTGTCATTAAACAAGCAGAGGAATCTCGCAACAGAGCTCTTGACACGGCCAAGCGTATTCATGATGATTATAGACCTCTAAAGCATGATGTTGATCGCCTGCGAAGGGAATATTTGGGATTAGATCGCCTTCCTGATTTACATGAGGAAGAGGCAGATCTTATTTCACCAGAGTAAGTATCCTCAAACCAGTCTACTTTGATGCAGGAAACAGTTAGTAATTGATTATATCTTGCTCATTTTCCATATTTTTTGCAGCTACTTTGATAAACATGTGAAGACATCTGACTGGCGAGCCCCAGATGTGCGTGATGTTGAACAGGCCAGTATGGCTAGTCTGGCAATGCATTCTCATTCTCACGGTCACCCAGGCCATCACCCCCATACTGCTCACCATACCCAAAGTGCAGCAGCTTTCCTCACTCCATCACAACCTTTGCAATTGGTCCAAGGAAACAAAGCAGATAACAGGCCAATGCCACCAGCGCCAGGGCCTGCCCCAACATTCAGGTTTGTACTGATATCCATGTACTAGCAAAAACGGTCTTTTTTCTTTATTTGTAATTTACTTGGCATTATTGTTTTGTATTTTTCTTTCAAAAGGCAACAACCCCCTCCAATGAAGTCTTGTCTATCATGTCATCAGCAGATCCATCGTAATGCTCCAATCTGTCCCCTTTGTAAAGCTAAATCTCGAAGTAGGAATCCTAAGAAGCCCAAGAAGAAGGACTAAGCTGTTTCTTGGATGTACATAGTGTTCTTTCTGCTGTCTTGAATATCTTATAGTTGTTAAACACTTTGTTTTTCTCTTCTGTCTGTACTTATTTTACCGGTCAAACTGATTGTTTGATCGTTTATTTGGTGCCAAATCTTGTCTGAATCTTTTGAAGGTTTGCATTATTACATTTTTTGTATGGACTTAAATTGCACAATTTGTCGTTTTCTATCATTTAAATTTTATTTGGTTATGTGTTATAACATTGTGTACTAATCATACTTATACTGTAATCATGAGCGAAGCTGTAATATAACTTAATCATACCCACTATGGAAATAGAATGTGCAAGTACTGGTATCGTTGATCCTATCCTAAGGCTAAAACATTCTTCTTGTAAATCAAGTTAATGCTTGTTTTTGTCTTATTTTTTCCTTTTTGGAGTATTAGCCCTTTTTTAAAAAAAAAGAGATTCCATATCTTTTGTCTTCAAACAATGTGTTGATTTATGTAATTAAACTAGCCAGTTTAATTGATTTGTACTTACACTTTTTTTTTCCATTTTTCTTCTTTTAATGTTTGTAAGAAGTGGATTAATGCTTGTCAAGCTAAGTTAACTTAGCATCCAACAGACTTGTAGAACTCATGTAATAGCCTAATAGACGATCTCTTGCACAGAAGTGCTAAGCTTGCTTTAGCTTTGGTTTTATGGGACTAAATCTACCCTTCTAATTATATTTTTTGCAATACGGTATTAATTTTATTGCAGGAAATGCAAATGAAGAGTGCATGTTTGAAAGGATTAAACGAATGAACCATAAACTTACATTTTATCTCAATTTTAGTATTGGCCATATAAGGCAAATATGCATACTACTTATAGTAACGTGTGTGAATATGCTCCCATAATTTAATGTATTATTATGCTTAGTCACTCTATGTATTGGTGCCAATTATTAATTTCCCTTTTCTCTTAGAATGTTGACTGTGTGGTGTTCAGCATTCAGCACAGCCAAACAATAAACAAACTGATGCATTGAAGTGCTCATTGTTTATTGTTTACTACATAGCTATTTGATCATCTCAAAACGGTAGTATTGTAATCCACAATATGTAAGTCTCTAGTATAGACAAATATGTTTCATTTTCTGCACTGCTTGGTCCCTAATGACCAGCTTTTATGGTAACTTTGCTGTGGTAAAATTTGAAAATTGTCAAAAAAAAATTATGGCTAGGGATTTGAAGTTTTTTTTTTTTTTTTTTTTGGATGTTTACTTCTTAGTTAAACATAAACTCATTTTTTTACTGTAATCATTTGACCATTAAATTTATTGATGATGTAATAATTTAATGGAATGTTTTACTTCTGCTTAAAGACACATACCCCCAATCAGTTTTTATGGTTTTGATCACTTGACCTACTGTGGGCGCCATACCAGCTTCTTGGTGAAATGCAGTACGAAGAGTACATAGCTTGTGGATCTTGTGCTCGCCCGTTCATTGCGTTTACCATGCTGAACGGCACTGCGCCATGATAGTGTGTCATGTCTCGGAAATGAGGTCCCCGAAGACCTGACCATCCTCATAAACTCCCCCCC